TTCTTGCTGCCCAATTCCCTGTCCACTGTCTTGTGTGGTTCCCATATTAGTGACCATGGATCTAACCTCTTGAAGAATCTGCTCACGAAGTAGCAAATTATCCTGCTCATACTTTCGAGCACATTCATCTCTAACCTTTACCAGAAGGTCATTAAGCTCAGGTCTTGATACAACTCCTGATGAGCCTCGTGAAATTGGTCTGAAATATTCCTTCAGACCAACTCCTTTTCCTACCCCCTAACACGACCAGAATAATCTGGCGTTCCAATTGCTGATGCCAAGATATCCATTCTTCCAGTAGATTGAAATGATCCTTGGGAAGCTTGTTCCTCAAGTGAATCCTACAATATTTAATTAATGAATTTATCTTAAAAGATACGAAATCTAAAATTGAATCTAGTTAGTATAATTACTTACAATCTGTTGAGCAACTTCAGCAGCCTCCGGAGTAATATGTTGACCTTTCTTGATTCTGGCTTCTTTCCATGTCCTTTGCCGAATTGGAGGATCTGGGGGATGAACAACAATACTGGGGTCAGATCTCGCAGCTTCCTCTAATTACTTCAAATCAATTTCCCTAAGTTTTTGGTCTAGCTTCCTATATCCTCGTCGAGACAAGTAATGCTGATATTTATTTTTGGACTGTCTCTCTTTATTTGCAGCACTTAATTCCTATAATAAAATAAAAATAAAGTTAGTTATAAACTAAACAAAAATAAAAAAGTTATTAATTATATCAAAATTTACCTGAAATTTAGGATCATCTCGTGACCTCACAAATTCTCTCCAAGTGTCTTCATCAATGAAATTATATTCCAAACATGGATTGTTCTTCTTCTTTGCTCCTCGAATGTATTCCCTGGAAAGTGATGACTTGAAATCTTTCCACGATCACGAACTTGCTGAAGCCAATACCTCTTTATCTCATCGGTAGGAGGGATATCATAAGTAAGCTGCAATATGTCATAATTATAAAGTAAGATAATGGTATCTAATATAATTAAAATAATAAAAAAATAGAAAAATATGCATACCAAAATATCACTCCAAATCATGTCCTTTGTAGCTTCTAGTACTTCTTGCCAATTATGATACAAGATCCCAACTTTACTCTGAGCTATGAGACCTATGTAACTTACAAACTTGTCCCCTTCTGGACCAAGTGGTCTTTTATCACCACTAAACTCTAAATGCACTCTCTTTTAGTGGCCTGATGTAGTGCTAGTTCAATTTTATACTTCCTCTACCTCTTTTCTTGTAAGTTGCGCTGGATGTGTCAACTACATCTTCATTAGAACCCTAAATATGTGATCTATTGCCTTCCATTGAGGAGAATCAGTTGAGTATTGAAGTTTCCCATCAAATAGTTTCTCATCAAAATTCCATCTCAAATTCTATGCTTCTATTGGATTAGTAAACAAATGTTGAAACTGTGGTATTATTGGAAGATACCACATCACCTTCGCAGGAGGCCCTTTAGTTATGATCTCATCACCATGATTAGCATCATTGATCTTCTTCACTTTGTACCATAAAGTCCCACATTTGGGACACTTGTTTAGCTCTTCATACTCATTTCTATATAGTATGTAGTCATTAGGACAAGCATGTATCCTTCTATAATCCATACCCATTAGACACAGGATTTTCTTTGCCTCATACATACGTTTTGGAAATAAATTATGGGTTAGAAACATTTTACTCAAGAATTCAAGTAACTCCGTAAAACTTAAATCGGTCTACCCACTTCTTGACTTTAAATTCACCAATCCCAAAACAGCTGTCAAGAGCGTAAAATTAGTACACCCCGAGTATAAGGGTTTCTTTACATCACTACGTAAGTTGTCATATGCATATGATTGTGCAAATGATGGTATTGCAACATCACGAATTATATCCTCTATTTTATCATCCCAGTCATTCATAATTCGCTCATTTTGGGACATGGAAGTTGTTCCTGCCTCCCCATGCCATACCCATCTTGTGTACCTCAAATTTATCCCATCACAAATTAAATGCTCTTTTATTTCATCAATACCCAATTCAATCTTATTCATACAGTTGACACAAGGACAACAATACTTTTCATTTTTGCTAGGAACATTTTTCCCAGCAAATTCAAGAAATTGGTCCACACCATTCTCATACTCCTCAGTCATTCTACTAGCATTCATCCAACTATGATCCATTCTTTTTTTACCTAATAAATCATCACAAAGTCTATCCAATTAACAATTCACTATCTTACTTGTACTTCAATTAGACTCATTTTTTTCAAAAAAAAAAAATCGACAGAGTCTTCCCTTAAAGATTGAACATCCTAAAATTATAACAACCAAAAATAAATAAAACCAACAACAAGCAGTTGAATAAATATTTACATATTAAAGCTAGAAAACATCAAACTTCAAGCTTATCCAAGTTTAATTTCTAAATAAAAAAAATCAATAGAGTGTATATATATATATTCTAATTGGATTAAGCTGTTCTTGGATAGTTGGAAAGCCCTTCAACAATAACTGTTAAGGAGCCTGCTACAACAGACACTTTTTCTAGAGGATATGGAGTTGCTGCCATGCAAATTATACCTAAAGAATGTTGGTTCAAGCTTTTTGTTTCATTTTTACTATATGGATAAACTAATGATCAGATGGGCTAGGACTTCCAAATTTTTAGATTTTAATCATAGTATATATATTTTGAACATTTTATGATAGCATAAATGTTTTTGGGTTTTCTTTTGCAGGCAGATCAAATCATCGAGACTCCACCAATACCCAAATAGGTAGCTTTCTTGTCAATAAAGCTGATTTGAGGCTGTAAGTAAGTAATTTCTTATTATATTTAACTGTTTCTAAGGTGTGAGCATTGGGACCCTATAATTGAAAAGCAGAATACAATTAACAGTTGGTTGAGCTTGGCATTGTTCAAATACTTCATTTGTTTAAATGAAGTATTTGAGCACTGGGACCCTATAATCACAAATCATATCCGATCATCCAGCTACTACACTTGTTCAAATGAAGTATTTGTTTATAAATAAATCTTTCATTTCTTACAAACTTGGGGAGTTGAAATTAAATCATGAGATCCACATTAGAACCATGCAGTCAAGACTATCCTAGACTATTATTGAGAATGCGTATAGAGGTATTGTATGCTAAACAACCTAAAAAGGAGATAAGCAATGGGAAGAGATACTGAGCTGTTCTTGGTTGAGAAGCTAAGAAAGATGAGAAGAGGATGAACACGGGAGGCAGGGAGCTGCTGCTACACATGAGTTACAGATTGTAGAGCTAAGAGCCTATTAAAAAGATAAAAATATATAATCATGGTGTAAGATTAAAACCACTGCATGAAGATAGAAATCTTTGTGTGTAAAATGAACTTCTAATAAAACGACATGAATTATGACAAAATATGCATGGATTGATGTTAATTTGGACTAGAGTTGTGTAATAGTCTAATAGATATATTAGTTATTTGATGTAATTTTTTTAATTAATTAAGGAAGATAGGACAAATTAAATTGAAAACAATATTGAGTATTGGAGAGTAGCATATAAAATATTAAGGGTTTGATTTGCACTAATTTTATGATTGTGTAACTAACTAAAACTTGGTCTTTGTACATTGCACAAAAATTAACAAATTAGTGGTATCATTCATAATTTCTCTTGTAGAATATTTTGTAAAGATTTTTTTTCTCATACTTTTATGGGTTGATATTAATATTGATACTCATGATTTTTTTTTTGAATTACAGTTGAGAATAAGAGTTAACAAAATTTACAAAAATAATTAAATAGGAGTCTCATTATTATCATACACCACCTTTAAATAAAAAGATGAGGGTTAATCAAAAGATAAATACTCTCCTACTTTGTCTCAGGAAAAGTTAACCAAAAAATGAGCACAAAAATTTACTTTCCAAAATAACATTCACAGATGAGATTGTATTAAGAATTTCAGGCTTCAAGAAGCTCAATTACCAGTTGAATTTAGAGCTATTTACTCGACAGCTTATGAGTGACCAAAGGAAGCTCATCAAGTGCCAATGAATGCTAGTCCACACAAGCTAAGGACCAATCTCATATTCTATAAGGGCATGGGTTCAGATCTTGCTCTTAATGAAAAAGAACGGTAATTTATGAGTATATTTATAAGTGTTTTTTAAACCTTGAACTCTACCCTAGTCCTTATGAATCCTAGGGTTCCAACAACTAAATTTTTGTACTAGACAATGAGTTCAAAAGATTGAAAAATTTTTAGTATTTTTCATAAGCTTAAAATCTTCTTGTATCAAGGTCAGTATTTTTCAATGAAGCTTTCACAATTTGGAGTTATGAATTTCACTTTTTCAACTAGGATTTCAAATTTTCAAATCTTCTAACAATCTGCAATTGATATGTAATTAATCTTTTGATTTTTACAACTGAGATTCCATGATTTATAAATACATTTTGTAATTTATAGAGTTTTCAAAATTTAGTATCTGCAACTAATTTTTCAATTTTTACAACTGAAATTCTAGGATTTATGATTAAGTTTCCAAAATTCACCACAAAGTTATGGGATAGGATATTTTTGTCCATTTATTTTTTAAACCTTGGTCGTTCCAAGTCATATCAATTAATTGGATTAGATGGTATTGTTGGATCCAATCTAACCGTATACATAGCTTGTTGGTATATATTTTTTATTTCCTTTTCTTGGTGTTTCATTGGGGCAACTCTAAATAGAAAGTTTATTCAGAAGCAACAATTAATTCTCATTATGCATCTTTAGGTCTTGATTTTACTTTCAACCAGGAGCTGAGTTTTAAATAATCTTGTTAGACATGATTAAAACAAGATTAAAATCATATGGAGTCCAACCATGTTACCCAACAATCCAAGAAAGCATGCAATAGAGCATCTCAATAACAAATCTATGAGTTTACAAGTCACCCAGCTTGTAAGAACTGTTATATGTACATGAGATAGGAACAGGATTTGTCTTTAATAGCTACTGACCACATCAATAAAACCACTATCAGATAGATTATATGCAACAGTCTGAACCCAGATGACTATTTCAGAGAATGCAGTCTCAATGCCGAGCTTTTCAACAAGTAAACAAGTAAAGAACATTTACATAACATGTTCAACATGAATGTAGGCATAAAGATGTCCAAGTTAAGCTAGAATAATAATATCTGTACAGGGATGAAATTCTATTGATACTCACGATTTAAAAGAAAGCAAAGGAAATCTGAAAAATTTGATTGTCCTACAAACTTCATTTTTTAACAAAACAAAACAAAACAATGGGTTAGCTAGAAAATTCATGCTTTTCATCGTTCACAATTCCCCCGAGTTCAGACTTTATTATTTCCTTTTGAGTAAAAGCATTGTGGTAATTGAACTAACTCCTCAACATGACTGTAATTCAAGAAAGTACCATGAAGAAAAACACTAACCAAAATTTTGGTGAGAAATGAGAAGCATCGAGAAGCAGAGCAACTGTTCTTGCTAGCCGAGAAGCTGAGAAGCACCGAGAGGCTAAGAAGTTGAGAGAGACGATCACAGAGAGGGCAGCAGAAAGATGAGACCAGAAGCTTGGCTGAGTAGTAGAAAGACCAGATGAAGAAGCTTAGCTAAGACCGAGAAGCAAAAAGAGGATACTCTGATTAGAGATTAGGGCAAGCACAACAGACTTTAAGTGTTCTTTTGAAAAACTTGACTAGCGCGGGGCTTAAAAATTAACTGGGGAAGGAGAATACACGTCTCCTAGAGAGGAGAGGGATGTGGATTTGAGAATCTATATCCCTCTCCTTTCTGGGACGTCCCACACAAAATGAGGGACGTGGCTTCTTACGTCCCTTAGAGAGGAGAGGGACGTGGCTTTTACCATGAAGCTACATTCCCCTCTTCAAGGGGGACGTGGCTTCTTCACAAGTCATGTCCCTCTCCTCAAGGGGGGATGTGGATTCTAAAGAAGCCACGTCCCTCATGAGTGGGGGACTTAAATTTTGATAAAGCCACGTCCCCTCAAGAATTAAGGAGACGTGGCTTATTAAAATTTTTTTGTTAAAATAAATTTTTTTCAATCTACATCATCTTTTTACTTGGGTGATGTGAATTGTATTCTTTCTAAGTCTAACTTGTAAAATGGGACGTAAATTAGGGTAGTAGAAATGCCTTTTTGTAATAGTGTAGTTCTCACATTTAATGCTTGATCATGTCTGAAAAATAATAAAAAATCAGTCTATTAAAAAAATAGAAAATCACATCACTGACACAGAACTCTTCGGCTAAGTTCATAATTAAGTACTCATAAGCTGGATTTCGGACAATCAAAATTTTAAATTTTTATCAACTTTTAAATAATAAATTATTTTTAAAAAGGTGACATTTTTTTAGAAACATTTAAAAGAGATCGTTGAAATTAATATTATTTTTAATCTACATTTTCCATTTATAAAAAAAATACTAAAATGGTAAGAACAAATTATACTGAATTTGGACCGTGTAGATGTTTAAGCATGAAATCCAATTGGTACGGTCTCTCTTTCTTGTCCTCAACCTACTTAGCTCTCAAGGAAACTCTCTTTCTCTAAAAATCCTATCAAGTGACGTAAAATAAATTAAAATTATAGTTGTGTTTGAATCAATAGGAATTTTGATTTGAACTTGGATTTGGACCAAATTTTCCATTTAGACACATAAAATATATATGGATTTGGAATTGAAAGATTTTAGATGTACATTATGCACGAGAACTTTTTTGTAAGTTGAATGTAGTAATTAAATAAAATTTTTCTGTATCATTGACTCATGATATTATTCCACGATAGTTAATCGCTTGTCATAAGAAGAAATAGAAAGATGTTGATGCCGCAATTTAATTCCAATGGTTACACAAACAACTTATCAAGATGCCATGGTTCTTTTCAATAAGTATCAGTTTGATGCAATATACATACATACATACATACATATATATATATATATATATTGCAACGTAACTTATATATATATATATATATATGCAACGTAACTTATTATCTGATAGCAAAATTGTAACATGGACGTACAACACAGCTCTCAATTAATGGGCTCATGCTGCTCTCAAGTTCCTTTGTTAATTAATTTTGTAATAACCAATAACAAAAAAGGCAAAAAAAACTAATTAGAATTTCAAGATATATATATATATCTCAATGAAGAATGAGGACGGGGATTATCGATTCAATTTCATTTCTAGCAAAGAAGCCATCATGTTGAATGTACATATCTACTCTAATAATACGTAACAGTTTCATGTAAACAGGGGAGACATTTCATGAAACATGGGAGTCTTATAATTCTCTAGATAGTTTGCAATATACACACACTCTCTCTAAACAATTATGATCATATTAATACACACACACATATATTCTTCAACAGAGGGAAACTGATTGAACATATATATATTGATTTTTTTTTTTCGTATTATGTTGTTATTATGACCCTCAAGGACATTACAATCCTAAGTGCTAGATGAGTTAATCAACTTTCGAAGGTTTAAATTAAAGAACCAAACAATTTAACTTATTGATATATTTCAACTCTCTTTCCCCATCCCTTTAATAATCAGGGGTGATAGAACTATTGATCTTTACACTCACCCCATCCTACACTTTCTACCAAGCAATTCCTAGGCAGCATTTCATCTCTTTATTTACTAAGAAAAACAACCATTCAAGAAATTATTGTACTCCCTTTGTCTCAAATCATAGGATATTTTTAAAAGAATTTATGCATCTCAAAATATTAAACACTTTAGGTAGATTAAGATTTCATTAAACAGATCAATTCCAATTTTTCCTTTTCTCTATCTATAATTAATTATTATCCCTTCTCTTTTCAATATATTAAATGGTAGGTATTTTTAGAAGTTTATATTTTTATTTTGAAAAGATAAAGTTGTTAAGTATATTTAATGAGGTTTATTGGTATGTGAAATTTTGTCCAAAAGTGTCTTATAATTTGGGACAGAGGGAGTAGCATAAAGCAAAAAATATTGACTATTATCTCTCCCAATTTTCTAAAAGATACTCAACAAAAAAGCAATTATTGTAGCAAAGAGAAAAATATTTTGATTTGCAATTACCATAGCTAAGAGAAATAGACTTTGATCTCCTCACAACTTTGATACAAATATTGAACACAAAACACAAGAACTTGAACATTTAACAAGAACGGAAAAAGATAAAAAAGAAAATTTTAGATAGAAGAGAAAATTTGAACCCAACATCAAATATATAGCTTCTATGAATGATGATTTCTAACCCTTCTCCTCCTTTTCTTTAGTGGATCGTCCACCAAACTTGCAAGCCTTTGAGGTTTACCTGTAAATATCACAATCCAAAACATTGTTGATCCCAAAAAGGCTCCACATACATACCCTAGCAAGATAGGTTTCCATCCAAATTCAAATCTATCTTCAAAACTTGAACTTTGTAGTGGTGGTTGTCTTTCCCTATTGGAGTTGCAAGGGATCATTAGTTGAAAACCATACAATTGCTTGTTTCCTTCAAAGGAATCACTTGTGAAAGTCTCAAATTGTTGACCCCTAGGAATGCAACCTTCAAGTTGGTTTCGTGAAAGGTTTAAGATAGATAAGAAGTTGAGATTAATCAACTCTATAGGAATTTTTCCAATAAGCTTGTTCGATGACAAGTCTAGCCATTCTAAATTTCTCAAATTTCCTATTGAGTTTGGAATTACACCAATGAGCCGATTATTAGAAAAATTAAGCCCCTTCAATGCTCTAAGCTGCCCAATAGATATTGGAATCTCTCCCTCAAACATGTTATCAGATATATCAATGCATATAAAAATAGTCAAGACCTTTTCCATATGAATGTCATGTCCTTTTAAGGTCACCTCAATGGAGTCGTGATATTTGCCAAAGTTACTAGATTGATTATAACCCATGTACTCTAAACTAATTTCTCCCTCTCTATTTTTCATAGCATCAAAATTTTTGAAGTATGTTTCAGGTAAAGGGCCACTCAACTTATTGTTGGATATGTCAAAAACTCTCAACTTTGTGAAGGCATAGTTGGATTTGCTGTTTAAATTAGGGATGAAACCATGTAACTTATTCTCTCTAAGAACAAGCACTTGCAATTCTTTAAGGTTTTGAACCCAATGGGGAAATGTATCATGAATGCCATTTCTGCCAAGATCTAAGACCTCTAAATTATTGCAGTGGACCAAAGATTGAGGCAACAAGCCATATAGAAGATTGTCATTAAGATTTGAGGTCCTCAACTTGTTTCCCACCTCAAATGTTTCTGGTATGGAGCCATAAAAGCTATTGCTTTGCAAATCCAACACATAAAAAGCAAGGGTAGAGCTCCCAATGCAGCGTGGAATTTGGCCACTGAAGTTGTTGTGGGATAAATTGAGAACTCCAAGTGAGCTTGCATTGCAAATTGTAGAAGTGAGCTCTCCTTGAAGCAAATTGGAACTCATGTCAATGAAACTCATGTTTTCCCCAAAGAAGTGGTCGAAGTGCACTCTTCCTGTGAGAAAGATTAAGTATCTAAGCTTCCTCCATTTTTATACTTTTAAAATAATATTTCTGTTTACTCTAAGTTTTTAATTCCTATGTAATAAATGTTTAGAAATAAAAGAGAAAAATCACATAATTTGAATTTTAATGAAATAAAATAAATTGATTTGTTGCATAAATTACAATGAAATAAATAAGAAAAAAAAATCACAACTCTGATCTAGTATGTATTAAACTCCATCACATAAAATTATGATATATTATTAACCTTGACATGTTTACAAATAAGTATAAAACGTTGGATCTACCGAAAAATCTTCTTACATATGCGGGTGAAATCAAGTAATGGGAAAAGGACCAAGGAAAAAAAATCAACTGATACTCTTTGATCCTATCAGAGAAAAATGACAACATCTCATGTCTTTATAATGTCTAGACATGAAAATTTAAATTTATTTTTTGTCTTTCAAAAAGTTTTAAAATGAAAAGAATTAACAAAATCATATATTACCCTTGGAGTGCCAGGGTAATGGACTTTTTAAAAATTTAAATTTTTGTAAACTGTAGTTATTAAATAATTATTTAATTCAAATTATTTTTTAAATAAAAAAGGAAAAGTTTAAAAGAAGTTAATAAAACACATGGATCGATTGCATATGAGGCGGAGGATTTTTATAAATAGAACACGAATGACGTGTGTGCAAGTAGAGTTGAAATTTTCTACTTTTCATGTTACAAATATCATGTGGTCCCATCAATTCATAGCCACGTCTTTATGTTATATTGAGATTGTAATCATGAGCTGCATAGAAGTTATTCAATATATTTACAAGGCTCTAAAATTGAAATTAACGATGAATACATCATAGGTGTAAAGAAGGCTAAAATTTTAGTTTTTATTTAAGAAATTAAAATAATTTCAGTCGCAGATTCTGGAAATAATTTATTGAATATAAGCATTTTTTGGGCAACACCCTCCTATATATAAAATAAATAAATTGACTTTTTTTAGAGAAACCTGCACGTGTAAGAACTTTTAATGACGTAAAAATTCAAAATTATTTGTTTAGAAAATTGGATTATGTTAAACATGTCAAGTATAGTATAATTTTTATTTTTAATGGAATTTCATTTAAAAATTTTACAAACAATATAGAACAATCGCAAATAATAAATGAAAAGTTTGTTAAAGTACAAAATTAAAATTTTGCAAACAATAAAGAATAAGCATACCTGTAAAGAAGTTGTCTTCAAGGAATATATATGCCAACGACATCCCATTGAAAGTAATGGGTCCACTCAAGTGATTTGATCCCAAATCTAAGACTTCAAGTTTAACAAGATTTCCTATTTCCTTGGGTATAAAACCTAGAATCACAAAAATTGATAGGTAATAACATTTTTATTACAGAATGAACTTATAAAAAACGTAAAATTTTTATTACAATAAACATGTATTACAATTACTTCGAAAGATTGATGAGCCTTTAGATCCGTTTGGATTAACAATTATAGCAAAAAAAGTGATGACAGTTGTTTTCTTAAGAAAACATAAAAAGTCTTTTGATGACAAATAACACGCATAAAAATACCAAAATAAAAACTAAAGAAAATGATCTGGACAAATGACCCAGGTCCTCTACATGATCCTTGAAGGATTAAATCCGACAAATCAAGTGGACAAGTACGTGGAACAAAGACAATTATATATATTAAAAATAATCTAAAACACACCTAACAAATTGTTATATGACAAATTCAATAACCCAAGAAAAGATAGGCTGTAAATTTTTGTTGAAGTCATTCCTAAAAATTTGTTGCCCACAGCTTAATTTATAAATTGATATAATTTTTTTTTTGTTACTTTCTCTCCTATTTATTTAAACTTGTATACTTTTTTCTTGCCCCGTCATTCTTTATTTACTTAACCTTTTCTCTTTCATCTGATCTTATCTTTGTTATGGAATGATTTAAATGAAGTTTCGATGTCATGTTATGAGTTTCTAAAAGCTTTATGTGAAATTCTTCCATGGTATCATGATATGTTATTATATAAAGTTTTATGTAAAGTTCTTCCATGATACCATGATATGTATATCATGCCATACTTGTTAGTTATGTTTAATATTTAAATGAATCATGCTATCTGGAATGGTTATGTTGCCATTGAGAATTTATGTCTTACTCCCAATTACTAACCATGTTAGTTGGAAATCTAACAAGAACAAGAAGGAAAAAGAATTCAAAGAATAAAATAAGTGGCACAAGATTGCAAAGTTGGAGACTTATATTTTAAATCACATGTAAATTTATTTGATTTATATAAATGCACTCAAAAATAATGCTATGCATCCTTTATATGTCTAGAGTAATAAAGCATAAGTTGAAGCTATAGAAATTTCCTGGAGCTATGATTTAATTAAGCATGTAAGTATCATACTGGCCTGACACAGGATTTTCTGAAGGTCTATTAATGTTTCATTAAAATGTTTACAATAAATGGACTCTTTTGAATCAGACAATTTTCTACTCATAATACAGACATCCTAATATTTCTAGGAAGTTTAAATCCGAATCAATTGGAGCTCTGCAGCTTGAGTTATTAATGTTCTAAGTGAAGTGTTAAAATTAGTCATGAAAACAGAGCAACTTAAGTGAATGTATTAAATGTACCAGCTAGCCCAATTAAAATCTTGTTTCTTATTTTTTTTTCATCTAGAGGGCTCGTTAAGGTTTAAAATGAATGAAGAATCATGTCAAATCAGTTTTGTGTAATTAGTTATGAATTTGTACATCTAAGGTGCAGATTCTGTCCAAGAAACAGAGCTAGTTTAGAAAAGCAATAAACTGTATTGTCTAGCATTAGTAAAAGCCATAACTATACTATAGATCATCCTCATATGAATTCTTTAGATGTAGTTATGATTTTTCAAAATTCAGAAAAAAATTCTAAACTTACTAAATAATGAAATGTAACTCGATGATTAATTTGCAAATTTTAATTCTTGGGCTTCAAGTCCCATTTCACCCAAACCATGTTAATTCTAATTACATAACAAAGCTGTTAAAAGTGAGGACGTAATGTTGCATTTTTGGGTAGCATTTTATTTTTTTAATTTCATTATTATAATTTGTAATTGATTTCTTGTACGCATTTAAATATGTTTTTTTATAAATAATAAATAAGAAGAACACAACTCCAAACTTGTCTGTATTTTAATGTTATTTTGATATTAAAATATTCAATCACACAAAAATTATCAATTATCATTAAATCTAGTATGTTTAAGAGTAAGTCTAAAATGATGTTAAATAAAACAAAAATAATTTAATTAATACTCTTTTCAACCCGATACCATTTAATGAATTTTCAAAATAAAAAATTGAAAAAATAAGTTAAACTGATAAATAATTCAATAAGGGGAGAAAAAATATAAAAATAAAGTTAATAGAAGACGCATAAAATTTAAAAAATGAAAGTAATGGTATTTTAGGTATAATCCATTTCAATATTAATAAACAATATGAAATTTAGAATGAAATGATGAAATACAAACTATTATTTTAGATATGCTCCATTTCAAAAAAAGAGATTTAAAGAAAAGGAAACATAATCATAATTAAATGTATACCTGTAAATGAGTTACTATCCAAATCCAAATATATTTCTTTTAATGATATATAGTTTTAAAACTTATATATAATAAATAACAAAATGCGCATCTCCAAACTTGTCTGTATTTTAATGTAAATTTAATATTAAACTTACACCATCTTACAAAAATTATCAAATGTTATTAAATCTGGTATCATATATAATAAATATCACAGTTCATAGTATTTTGTTATTTTGGGCTTGTCATCACTAGCTAGCTATATAAATGAAACATCAAAGACTTCAAGTAAAGGAAATTGATGACACATTTTTCTTGACAAATTACTATTCAAATGATTCATTCACAAATTAATCCCTCTCAAATAAGCATATTCCAAATAAAGGAAGGAATTCCACCTATAAAAAAATACAAAATATTTGTTTTTTAATTAGAAATCTCATGAATTCATTTTGTAATTAGTTTTTGTTAATAAAGTCTTGAAATTAATAGAAAATAAAATATTTTGTCCTTGTAAAGAAATTTAAATGGGACTCTTTCAATATATCAATTAAAATTGCACACTAAATTTTCTTTTAAAGAAGAGATATGGTGAAATAGATTATGGAATTAATTTTCCTTGTCCAGACAGAACAATCAAATTATTTATATTTTGCACTAGAGTGATTTAATATTTACAAGGCTCTAACTTTAAACTTAATGGATGAATATCATAGTATCTTATCAATTTATAGTATTAGTAAATAATACTTTTCTACCTTTTATGATATATTTATTCTGATACATTGATTGATGTGACATTACAAGCAACAACAAATAATAAAAAGTCATTCTTTTTATATATAATCGACACAATTCATTTTATTTTATAGGAGAAATCACATCCAAGAACCCAAAAAGAAAGTTATTCACAAATAAAGATCAATAACAAGTCTCATTTTTTAAAAAAAGCATATATTTTCAGTTTAATAACAATTCATTCCATATCAGTCCTTATCTATGAATAATTGTCTTCTTAAGTTCTTGGTGTGATTCTCCCTATTATATATGAGGTGACATTGGATAATAATATTTGCAAACAATATTACAAGGTACTATCTACGTTCTTCGATTTTCCTATTGGTAAGGAATTAAATAATTCATAAAAACTGCACACACTAAATGTGTAGGGCCACATTTAAATAGTTTAATAGCAAAATTAAAAGTCTAGCCTAGTATTTTGTTAGAGAATATGCATATTAAAACAATATTTCAATATTCATGCATGTGCATCAACATATCATGGATATAATAAAAATGAAAACGTTCCATTTAGTCAAAAAAAAAATAAAAAATTTGAAGTTTTTTTCCATAAAATGTAAATTTGGAATTAATTGAATTTCTACCATCACTTGGTATATATGCTATATATGTAAATATTAATTTTTATTAGGAGAGAGAATAATAAAATTTCTGGTATAATTTTGGAATTAGTTGAATATCCATTATTACTTGGTATATATGTTCTATTGAAGCCATGCATCGGTGGATAGTTTTGGCCGCGAAATTATTTTTATGCAAATAAAATGGTTCAAATTTTGGAAGCCCAAAAAGATACGTTATTTTTTAGCAGACTTTCAGGCACATAATTTGATCCAAGAAAGCAAACTAGCTGGGTAAATAATGATGATGTAATATCTCCTACAATTATTTGAAACATGGTACGTTGGTAAATAATACTTCATTTTTTTTTTCTTTACATGTCATATGTAAGAGACAACTGTATATTTTCTACAACATTGAGGACTTGCTCATATTGAGAAATAACACTAACGCACCCAATTGGTAGGACCAATAACCATAGAATACATTAGTTCTCATGGGATGTGAGTATGTGTTTTAATGTGTGCTGGATGGATTGTCTCCATTTAAATACGCGCGCGTGTACATGGAGAAAAACTTAACTTTGAAAAGAAAATTCAGGGAAAATGAAAGAGAAAAGCATATCAATTCCAGTTGGTCCTGTCTATCATTTCCATCATTATATCAAAACAAATAGGGATATTAGAAATAATTAAAATTATGTTTTTTACGATAAAATTTTTTTCGTTTTGAGAAATTTTCTTTTTGTGTGCTCTAAAGAGCTGGTCAACATAAGAAAAAAGGAGTAGCAAAATAAAATGGGCAACTCCGTGCGCTTATTGTGCCTAACTGTGTGTGATCAAATTAAATGAATGATATGATGAACATAGAAAATGAATGAAATGACGAAAAGGCAAATCTCATTTCAAACTTACCTGTAAATGAGTTGTTCTCCAAATACAATTTTTTCAAAGATGTGCAGTTACTTATTGATTTTGGAATGCTTCCCTCTAAATAATTATCATAAACAGCCAAGATTTCCAGCATAGGGGGTTGATGACACATTTCTTCAGGCAAATTGCCACTTAATTGATTCCTTCCAAGGTTAACCACTCTCAAAGAAGGCATTTTCCATAAAAATGAAGGAATTTCACCTGAAAAAAATAAATATTTAATTTGTTTGATGGTTAAGACAAAGAAGCTTATACTTACGGTATGAAAATATCTTCAATTGAAACTTTTGGAGGCAGTATAGAATAAGCACTGTGCTTAATTATCATCCTCAAAAAGTTGTATAAATAATACACAAAAATTTGTTGAAAGCGTACAATTAAGGGAGGGGTGCATTAAAGGGAGCTTGTAGTTAGAAGCTCTTACAATACTCTTTAACACTAAACAGATATAGGTGTCATAAAAAGATTAAAAATAAGATATCATAATAGAATGAAATACGTAAAAGCTTAATGAAATCATATTAATTCTCACGAAATCTTTCAAGAGTTCCAAAAAAAAAATATGATGTGAATATGTATTAGAACAAGGAAATATATATTAGAACAACGACAATTATAGATATTAAAAATAATCCAAAACATACCTGGCAAATTCTTACTAGACACTCAATAAGTGTGGATAAGTATGAAGTTTTTGTTGAAACCACTCCTGAACTTAACTTGTAAATGATATATATTTTTTATTATTTTCTCTCCTATTAATTTTAACTTTATTTTCCCTCTCCTCATGATTCTTTATTTATTTAACTTCTTGTTCAGTAATTATCCTATTTTCTTATCTCCAAGTTTTAAATTTCGAATTAAATAATTACTCAATAATTATTATATGAAAAGCTTTAATTCGAAAAGTATTATTTAATTTCACATAGCATAAATTTTGAACTAAACATTTAGCGTAGTTCCTTTCTATATCCAGATGAATTATAGTGATGCATTTTATTTATTTTCTGAGGAATAGGAATATCTCATTTAAGTATTCTGTTATTAAGTTCACAGAGTTCTCTTTACTGTTATTGTAACATCCCAAATTTAGGATCAAGAAACTCAAGATATGTTCGAATTTAGTAAGCTACTAATCTTAAGTAACCAAGAGTCATAAAGGTGCCCTGAAAAGTGATTCCTAGGGACCAAATTGTAACTTTAGAATCTTTCTAAGGCTAAAGCTCCCAACTAATTTGTATCAGTTGAATTTTGTCATACAAAAATTACCAAATATTATTAACTCTAATGTATGTATAAATCACAGTACTGAAAACTAAATCAGTCAGCTCAGTCATGATTACAATAATATAATTCAATTAAATATACAAAAAATTCACATATAAACCTAAAAGAGTAATATTTAAATAAAAAAGCATTAATCCACATGTAAATGTAACATTTATGTATAAACTACACATAATCCAACAAAACAAAATTACTAGATTACAAATTTGATGGACATCTATTTTTTCTTTTAACTTAAACTGATGTCTTTTCAGGCTGAGCAAAGGAGATAAAAAAAATTTAAATCCCACACAATTGGCCCAACCAAAACTCTTAATTGGACTGACTAGAAGACTAGTTCACTATTATGACCGGCTAACCCATGCATGCTGAATTTCCGCTGGTGTGTGAGTGTGTGTGTGTGTATTTTTCTAGAAATAAGTATAAAACTGACGTTCAATCCGCCAAAAAGAATTTCAAGTAATGCTTATTTCAACATAGAAGAGTAACGTAGCCACATCTCCTGTTGTCTACAAAATGAAGATATAAATATGTAAATATTAATTTTTTATTAGGAGAGAGACTAAGAAAATTTCTGGTATAATTTTGGAATTAGTTGAATTTCCATTATCACTTGGTATATATGTTCTGTGGAAGCCATTCGGTGGATAATTTTGGCCATGAAATTATTTTTATGCACATAAAATGGCTCAAGTTTGGAAGCCCAAAAACACAATTTTTCAGGAGACTTTCAGATAAATATTTGATCCCAAAAACCAAACTAGCTAGTAAATAATGATTATGTGATGTCTCCTTCAATTATTAGAAACATGGTACGTTGGTAAATAATATTTCAGTTTTTTCTTTTACATGTCATATGTAAGAGACAAAATTATATTTTCTACAACAACATTGAGGACTTGCACATGTTGAGAAATGACAGTAAGACACCCAATTGGTAGGACCAATAACCATAGAATACACTAGTTCTCATGTATCGGTTGTGAGTGTGTGTTTTAATGTGTGATGGATGGATTATCTATATTTATATACGCGCGCGCGTATATATGGAGAAAAACTTACCTTTGAAATTAAAATTCAAAAAAAAAAAGATCAGGGAAAATGAAAGAGTTCGAAGAATATAATGTAACTGTGGTAGAGGAGAATAAACATATATATCTTTATGAGAGAATTGGATGTATCATCAAAATTACTTTGCCACAATACTCTTCCTGTGTAGAGTATCATGAGATAATACATACACAACACATTCAAATTTTTTATAACATTGTTTCAAGACTTACGTTGAGAAATAATGCTAACATACTCTAAATGATGATATAAAAGTACAGCTAATTTTAAAAAAGCCATGACCCATAATTGGAAAGACTACTAACCAAATAATATATTAGTTGTCATTTTGTCACGTATTATGTGTATGTGTGCGAGACTCATTGAGGTGCAAATGTGTAGTTACTTATATTGCATCGGGGTTTTTCACAAATTGCTAGAAAAATTATGGGTGATTCACATATTGCTAATTGGGGCACCACCATTATGTGAACCAACAAACAAATACACACCACACACCCACACGCATCACAAACATGAAACACATCATTTTAAAATTATTTTTATTCAAAAGATTAAAACAAACAAACATAATGGCACACAGTTTAAAACAATTATATAATTTAAACTCTTACCTTGCAAATTGATATTGTCAAGATATAAGGTTTGGAGGTTTGTCAAATTTCCAATATCGGTTGGAATGACTCCTCGATTGAATATGTTATCACCCAATACTAAATCTGCCAATTCCTTGCATTGATGCCAAATAGAGGGTACGTTGCCTGACAAATCATTATGATGGACATATAATCTTTCAAGTTTTGGAAGCTCATAACACAAATTTGTTGGGAGACTTCCAGATAAATTATTTTCATTAAGTTCAATATACTGTCGAACTGAACTATTAAATACAGAGGTTGGTATCGAGCTTGAAAGCTGATTGTTTGAAAGATATATTTTTCGTAGCCGTGGAAGATCACCAATCTCATTTGGAATGCCTCCTTCAAATATCAAAATATAAATAATATGTCAATATATATATATATATATATATATCTAAAGTATAAGGAAGAATTTTCTAAAGTATGCATTGTTTACTCATGTTTGCAGTCTCTTTTTAGCATCAGGATAGTCCAAATTAAAATTGAATGTTATGCCACAGATCCATGCATTGTAAGCTTTATTTACTCATTTTGTAAGCAACCCTCAAGATGTTTTAAATGATAGAATAGATATTCATTTTCAAGAACTGGTATCCGTTTAGATCCATTAATAGGATTCATATATTATTTATTCCGATACTAGCTCTTATTTGAATGCGCCATAGTAAAGGAACAAATATCCTATTACTTCAGTTGCATGTAGATACATGATTTATTGAGCAAAAAATTGATAAATTTTTTAAAAAACAAAATATGATAAAAGAATGCATAAAAATACCAAAAAAAGAATACGAAATAGTCGAGAAGAATCTGTATCCTTCTAGATGATCTTTAAGAGAATATATCATGCTAACCAAATAGACTAGCTTAGAGCGAAATCAAATATAGGTATAGAAAAAAAAAATCCAAAACATACCTGACAAAGTGTTATAAGACAAACTCAGTAATTCAAGTGATGATAAGTTGGAAATCATTTGAAGAATGATTCCCAAAAGCTTGTTACCCAAAAGTTGTAAAATCTTCAAACACTCAAGTCTTCCCACCTCAATAGGAATGGTCCCTTCAATTAAATTATTATTCCAATCTAATGTCTCCAACCTTGATAGATTGAATAGAGTTAATGGAATAAATCCTTCAAAACTATTATTTCGAATATTTAAGTGCTCCAGTGTAGATAAATCTCCTATCCATGTTGAAACTTGTCCATGAAAGTCATTGCAGCTCAAGTTCAGTAGTTTCAATCTACGTAATCGAGCTAACTCTCTTGGTATTTGACCATAAAAATTGTTGCTACTAAGATCAAGTTCAACAAGAAATGAGAGGTTTGCCAGTTGTGGAGTTAAGGTACCTTTAAGATCCATGCCACCAAGATTCAAGGAACGGACCCTTCCTTGGCGAGTATTGCAACTGACACCAACCCAATTGCATGGAGAAGAAGAGAGTGACCAAGTAGATAAGAAATCATATGGATCTGAAGTGATAAAAGATTTAAGGACAAGAAGTGCAGATTTATCAATAGTGATGTTTGTATCAATCCATGCTAAGGATGATATGAAGCAATTGAGTGAGATGATTAAGAAAACAAAGGAAGGAGGTTTCCCCATGTTTAGCATATCAGACTTGTCAAAATTGCAAGTTGTGTATGTAAGAAATCACACACATATCATTTTATACTACAGCAATTCCAAATCAAGTCAAGGCGTCACATATGGAAAATCAAAAGGATGCCTCTTTCGTGATCGATAAGTTAAGAAATTCAACTAAAATATTGATTATAATTACCGTGTTTGGTAAATAATATCTGTTTTTTATATTTGAAGATACTGTTTTAACCTTCTCTCATTTAATTTTACCACATGGATATCACAGCTATCAAGAGTCTTCATCAGGTGATGAATATGTAATTCGCCGTGCTATTTCTACGGTCGGAATGAGTTTTTTTTTTTTTTTAATGGAACCCAAGTAATTTTGTTTTAAATAAAAAAGCATGCATTGAATGGGTCCCATGATAATCAATCAATCAAAATAATCAAAACAAAAATACGAGAGGGACGAAAAATTTTGCACCCCAAAACAAATCTGAATACCATTTCCAATAGTAATCTCATAGTTTGTAGAATTTTTATTTTATTGACTTGTATTTATAGCTTATTTATTTTAATGAATATACAATAAAATACATAAATTGTATAGAAGGGTTATTTGCAAATAACACATGCAAAGGTTAATTAAAGTGTATCTTTTCTTCCTCCAAACAAAAAGGCGCTAGTATACACAAGTAATCAAATAATGAATAGTGTATGATCTAAGGGAGATTTGTTCATAGACTTTGTTCAATACCGACTTTTACTCATTAATTATCATCATTTAGTGAAACCACTCACTGGTTTACAAGTTTAATTTTATCAACTTTATCACCTCCAATATAATGACCTAAAAGTCTAAAACTAGTAACATTATGAAATTTCAAACAGTGGCTATCAAATCAAAATAATTATGGTTAAAGAGAAAAGTTAATAAAAAATCTTAAATTAATTAATTAATATGAAAAGAATAGAAAATTCATTACCAACAATAAGTCCATATGACTAATTTTAATTATTAATTTTTTTAAAAAAAATTGATACATTGATTCGGTTTCATGATCTGATAAAATTTTCTCAAAAGTGTCGGCACATGGCGTGCTAGGCTTTTTCGAAGTCTTCATACTTTGGTTGGACGTATTATATCAATAATCCATTTTGTAGGTACATAAAGTGCTTGGATTGTGAATAGACCTTAAAGTCACAATACTCTTATGAGGAAACAACTCATACAATAAGGGTGTGAGTTCCAATTTTATTGCCGGTATAAAAATCATTTTAGCAGATTTATTAAAGCTCAATTTGTAAATTTCTAGCTTTTTTTATAATTAGTGTATGTATTAATTTTTATTATTAATCATCATTAAATATAACGTGTTCACAATTTGAAATCTAATTTTGGTTCAAAGCCAAATATTGGTCATGATAACAATCCAATTAGCTTTTTTTTTTTTAACCAGCACAATCCAATTCACTTTCACTTGTTTTTCCCTCCTTACTAACATGTATCTTTTTCATTGGAGGTAATCATGTTGGAGGTGCTGTGTGCCACTTTCACTTGTATTTATTATAATTAACCCCTGACAAATTCAATCCATTCACTTATGTGGTCTGACAATGTTGCGTACGTAGTAGAATGGCTATGTTGAAAAGAAGCCAAAACAAAAGAAAATAAAAGAAGAGAAAAAAGAATGAGAAAAGAAATCAAGTCATCAATGTGGTCATATAGATAATCCATAATCCAACAGTGAGTGAGGGAGGGACTGTATCGTCATTATCGCGTTGAAAATCAAACAAAATAATAAAAGTGTTAATATAGATATTTATTACTTTAAATGAAAATTTATTATTAAATTTTAGAGATAATTAAATCGTTAACCACTCAAAGAAAAATATCACAACTAACGTAAAAAATTGCATTATATTTTCCTTGATTTAACTCATCATGGGAACATGGTCTGGTCCATAAGAAAAACATTTAATAGGAACACAAATAACTATGAAAAATTATAAGTTGTCCTGTAAAAGAAGTTGCAAAATAAAAGGGGAGAGTAACATATAGGTCCCAACAAAATCAATTAATTTAAATTAGATCCTAATTAATTTTAAAGTGCCAAACTCCAGAGATTTATAAGTTCAATTCTTAATTTTGTAACTTTGTTGTGATGAATTTGTAACTTGTTTATCAAATTTTAACATGGTTGAAGAATAAATAAATTTATTTTTCTTGTAAATATTTCAAACATAAGTTACAAATTCATCACAACAAAATTATAAAATTGAAAGTTGAACTTGCAAATTCTTGGAGCTTGATGCTTTGAAATTAGTTGGAACTTCATTTGAATTAATTGGTCCCTATGGGAGTTATTTGTCATTCTTCCAAATGAAAGAGAAGATCAAATTTTCATGGGAGAATGACAAAGAGGTCTCAAAAGGACCAATTAATTTAACTTAAGCTCCAAGTGCCAACTTTTAAAAATTTGCAAGTTTGATTCTCAATTTTGCAACTTTATTGTGATGAATTTGTAACTTATTTTTCAAATTTTAACATAGTTGAAAAATAAACAAATTTGTTTTACCTATTAAAATTTGGAACAAAATGTTGCAAATTCATGATAATAAAGTTATAAAATTGAGAGTCAAACTTGTAAATTTCTAAAAACTGACACTTAAAAATTAAGTTGAATAAACTAGCCCTTTTGAGACCCTTCTTCATTCTCCCAATTTTCATTACCTCATTGTGTTATTTCATTTGCGGTCAAATCTGATAGGCTACAGAGAGTATCTATCCCCAAAAGAACGTTACTGTGAAGACCAAAAAGTCATGAATAAATGGAAAGTCTGAATGAGACCAGGCATTGAACTGGTCAGACTATAGTTCATCAACTATGATTGGACCAGTCTTAATTAAAATAAATTTTTTAAATAACAAATATGAAAAATAACTTCAACAATATTTAACCATATCTTGCCATACTTATCCAAATATGTCCGGTAATATTTGTTCATATCAGTTTCATACATGCTAAATTAAACTAACACAATCTCATATTCCAAATAGTATTTATTGTCTATTTGAATTACCAAAATCATCAAATACACCAAATAAATTGTCCAACTAATTAAGCTCTAGCATAAATTTTCATAATTTACCAGAGCCACTGATAAATTAACAAATATATATAATACTAAAAAACAACCAAAAGATAAATAAAAACACAAAATAACATAGTTTTGGGTTATCAAAATTTAAAAAATATTTCCTAACTATTTGAAAATTATATGAGGAAGGATCATTTTCAGCTAAAGTAAAACCTGAATGAAATTTTAGAGATTATCTTCATTTTCCTAACTACAAAATATGAAATAATCAATATAAAAATTAGTGAAGTCTGAGATCATTTTTTGGAAGATTTAAAAACTATTAACTGATTTCCTTCAAAAAAATTATTTTTTTGAACGAAAAAAAAAAATGAAGAACGATACATACCAAAGCGCGTACGCATGTACAAGTTAAGAATGAAGCACCATATGTTACAACAAACATCAAATTAAGGAAGCAATGCCATAATTGATATTTTCTTTTGAAAAAAAAAATAAAAGGAAGGATGAGCATACTTGTTGAGTGTAAAAGCAGAAAATTGCATAATAATCTTAATTTTAAATTTAAAGCAACACTCACTAAATTAAAATCTCTCTACGAAATAGAAATTCGGTAGGTGACCATAAATTCCACATTACATTATTTGATTTGATGGTATGAAAATGTTGGGTAGAAAAATGAAAAGAAAAAATGGCATTTTGTGTCGTATAATTTTTTTTTCCATTATCTCATTGATTAAGGACCACAATTTTATTTTGGCTGGATTAAATTTTTTGTAGTCAAGTATGATAAGCAATATTGACCCCAAAAAAAGAAAGTATGATAGGCCATAAAATAACTCCAAAAGTTACTTCTGTGAGAAGTTGTTACTTTCCTTAATTTCACTGTGTTGTACAATTTCAGTTTTGGAACCATATTTTCATTTATGGTCAAGTATGGTAAGCCATAGAGAGTAACCCCATAAAAAGGTTATTGAAAAGAAGCGTGCCTGCATTGATACATTGCCCCTTCAATTATGAATTTTCTTTTTTTCTTTTTTTATTTTTACGTAAGATAGTTATTCATTTCTTCATTATGGATATATAAATTCTACTATCTATAAAATTCTTGGTTATGATTTGCAGCAAATCAAACCACCATGAAATATAAACTGATGAAAGAAATCTTTGTTGTGTGTTCTCCCTCGTTCTCACCATTTCACATGGTTACTTAAATTAGTAATATGCGTAATTTTAAACTTGCAGCTAATTATGTAGTAAATGTGTTATGTAACACTAAATATTTAAATAACTGGTTCTCTTGCAAGAGTTTCATAATATTAATATTATATAACATATTTACTACATATACATAATCAATCTGTTATTTTAATATCTATTATAAGGAAAAGAAGTTAAGAATGCTCAGTCTAGCTGGTAGGCCATGGTGTGTACCCCCAAAAAAAAAAAAAATTAGTAGTGAGATATAAGAAAACGTATACAAGTCTACACTTTAATTGATTGGACATACATATGAACCACCCATTTGTCATCGGATATTTGATTTGTGAGTAGACCTTAAAATCACACTCCATTTCACATGAAACAGCTTACGTATATAAAATAATATCATCTTAATTTACCCAAAGAAAAATTGCACAATTGACTTCAAAAATACATGTAAATAGTGCGGCTTTTAATTATTATTTTAAAAATTTTATATATTGCATATGGAAAAAAATAGTATGTATTTTTCAAAAATCGCAACACTATCTAATCCACTTTTTGCGTCAGAGACTTGAAGCGGTAATTATACGCAATTTAAAAGAAAAATATTTTGACTAATTACATTGAATAACAATATCCTCAAAAAATTGAAACTCAATTTTTAAATTTGATTTATAAATTATAATAATTAATAACAATTAAAGATAACGTAT